TCAAATCTGTACATGACTGCTGGAAAAACCATACAGACTTTTGTTGGCAAAGTGATGTCTCTGCTTTTTAATATGCTGTGTATGTTGGTCATAGCCTTTCTTCCAAGGAGAAAGCATCTTTTAATTTCATGGCTGCAGTCACAGTCTGCAATGATTTTAGAGCCCCCAAAATAAAACCTGTCACTGTTTCCACTTTTCCCTTTCTATTTGCCATGATCTTGATGGGACCCCGAAATTTTGAGTTTTAAGTATGTATGGTCAATTATACTTATATATATAATCAGGTTAAGTTTATTGAAACTGGACTCATTTTGCAAGCAAATTAGTCTTAATCTGGCTATATTCTGTAAAGACAAGGATGGTTTTCAAAAGAAAAGTTATGTTTCAGTAATATATCTTTGTAGATATTAAGCTCTAGTGCTGTTAGTGGGCTTTGCGCTTTGGTATTTACTGCCTAAGACTCACTTCCCAGATGACTTCTTTTTACCAATTTGCATTACTGTAAGGTTTAATGAACTATTAAAAGGGCAGTCTAAAATTGTTTCTGATGTTTACTCTAGTAATCTATCTTTGCATGAAGATCAGATATGCCATGACCTGAAACAAGGAGATTTCAAACTGGAAAAGGCATCATTTAAAGAACTGTCTCCAACCTAGATGAAAGGATTTTTATCATATTCTTAACTAGCTCGGGTGCAATGAAACCAAAGAGAATTAACTCCTGCATTCATTCCTCCCAATTTAAAAAAGGCCCCTGTACCAGACTGGTCTAAAGACAGGACTGCTGACCTCAATATCACCTTAAAACAATACCCACACCAGGATGAGAAGATGACATGAGGAGTGAACAGCTATTCCAAGATGCTGGGCCTGACCTATGTGATCATTTATAGTGTTTTCTTGGTTTCTATCATGGATACACAAACCCTATGCAGAGTTTAAAAATCAATCCAATTGTTGTATTTATGGTTGATTATCCATGTTCAGTACTTTCGGTTTACATTGGTGGATTTTTCCACTCCAAAGGCTTGATTGGATGGTTCTTAGGACATTTATTCTAGAAGAAAAAAGTTATATAGTTCTGCTCAAGCCCTTATTGATATTAATAGATGGGACTCCCTCACTTGGCTAATCAATCATACCTGCTCTGACCCTGGCCATAAATACAATTTTTCTTTAAAGGTTAAACACTCAAGCTCAATCAGAACAATGAGCTAAATTTCAGTCAAAAATCATAACCTCCTGCTTACTGGGAGAGACTGTCCCTCAATTATGGGATGGATTTATATTGTTAATACCATGCTATAGTCATTTAAATTTAAAGGCTTCCTTATAGTGGGAACAATTAAATTATACTAAGGATAATGAGCTTAATAACATTAAGAAATTAGGCTGAGTGAAGGCAATGGCAACCCAGTCCAGTACTCTTGCTTGGAAAATTCTATGGACGGAGGAGCCTGGTGGGCTGCAGTCCATGGGGTCACAAAGAGTTGGACACAACTGAGCGACTTCACTTTCACTTTTCACTTTCATGCATTGGAGAAGGAAATGACAACCCACTCCAGTGTTCTTGCCTGAAGAATCCCAGGGATGGCAGAGCCTAGTGGGCTGCCGTCTATGGGGTCGCACAGAGTCGGACACGACTGACGCGACTTAGCAGCAGCAGCCTTATGAACAATGGCAACTTATTATTACCCTTAAAGATAACGATTGGTATGGAACAGATGGGTTAGGTGACCAGGGGTCACATCCAATGGAACTTCTTGTTTTAAATGCTAACTTAAGGGACTTCCCTGGTGGTCCAGTAGCTAAGACTCCACACTTTCAATGCAGGGGGCCAGTGTTCTGTTTCTGGTCGGGGACCTGGACCCCACATGCTGCAAATAAGAATTTGTATGTCAAAACTAAAGATCCCTCACTCCACAACTAAGACTTGGTGCAGCAAATAAATAAATTAAAAAATCCTTACTTAAGACTTTAAAAAATGCTACTAACTGTACTACCTGTATTCTGCTTACTCTACAAGATTGTTGTTTTTCATATTACCCAAAGTGCAACTGAGATTCTGACAAATATTCTGATGACTAAGCAGCTTGAAACAGTCAACCAAATATACAGCTGTTTAGTCCCTAAGTCGTGTCTGACTCCTTGTGACTCCATAGACTCAGTGAGTCAGGCTCCTCTGTCCATGGAATTCTCCAGGCAAGAGTACTGGACTGGGTTGCTATTTCCTTCTCCAGGAGATCTTCCCAACCCAGGAATTGAACCTGGATCTCCTGAGTCACTTGCACTGGCAGGCAGATTCTTTCCCACTGAAACACCAGGGAAGCCCTGACCAAATATATAGTTCTATATAAAATTAAAATAATTGTAATAATGAGAAGCCCAGTGTGCTGCAGTCCATGGGGTCACAAAGAATCAGACACCACTTAGCAACTGAACAATAGTATAACTCTAGATATGGGAAGAAGCAACAAAAGGGAATCATTTCCTGAAATATAGAAGACTAGTGAGACAAGTGGTTCAGATATGTTTATGGCTACTATTAACAAGGACATTAATAATGCACTGAGTGGCATATCAAGGGAATCCTCACCTGACCTAGCAATAAGCCTTCCTGGCACCAGGGGACAATTTGGATATGAAATGTCTCCCAAACCTTGGTTAAGTTTAGGACCACAAGGAGGCACTGTAAAACAAGGAATGTCACTCACCATCCAGTTTCACAAATCTACTAGATTAAGTCCTCAGCACTGACCTGCAATACACACCGAAAGAAATTCAGGATGAACAACAGGGTGAGCCACTCTGTGCTTTGAGAAAACAGGCAAAACAGACCCTTCGATAGCTAGATATGATAGGAAATTTTTCTTGTGAACCCTAATTCTTGCATCTTCCCATACTTAGAAAAGCATTAAAATCATGAACTTGTTTCTCTCGACTAGCAGTAACCTTCTATCAAGATGTATGCTGGATTGCACACACCTCTTACCAAAATTACAGATATACTGGCCTCTCCCCCTACCTCTTGGGAGTAGTTCCTCAGAGCTATGGAAGGCTGAATTAAAAAGCTGATTCAGGGAGGGAGGGGGAAAAAGAGATTTCTCTTTTAGAGTGTTGAGTTTCAGAACTGTTTCAGGAACATCAAAGGGGAGCTTACCTACATAAGAGCATTTGGGCAGCAACTTAAATTTAAAAAACAAAGAACTTCATTTACTTCATCGGAAAAAGTTCACTCCACTTATTTCCTTGAATCTCCACACCTGCTAAGAAGTGAAGATGTATGTTAGGATCTTCTGATGCCATCCAAAATCATGGCTTTCTCTGCCCACTGAAGCCAAATAAAATATGGAGACCAGGTTTGGAGGAAATAGAAAGGTGGCTTCAATCCTCAGGTGGAGGAGGGGAGACACAGCAGGCTCCTGCCTCAAGCACTGGGCCTCCCTTCCTTGAGAAATCAGGGAATTATATAGGTGAGGGTGCACAGTCAAGGGTCAGTGACAAGGAACAAAGGTGTAAGGATCTTATATTCTTCTTCCTCTTGCACTGTTTCAAAAACAGTTATAGACTGGAGTCAAGCAGCCTGTTAGTTGGGTCCATTGTCTTTCCTGAATTGTACTGGAGCCTTCCCCTGGGGATTCAGTTGGTAAAGAATCTGGCTGCAATGCAGGAGACCCAGGTTTGATCCCTGGGTCAGGAAGTTCCCCTGGAGGAGGAAATTGCAATCCACTCCTGTATTCTTGCCTTGAAAATCCCATAGACAGAGGAGCCCATAGGGCTATGACCCACAGGGTTGCAAAGAGGTCCGTCCGACAGGACTAAACGAATTTTGCATGCATGCATGCACTGACTACAGATAAAAATATTCAAAGTAAAAAACGTGCTCAGAAACGGGCAAGAGAAAAAAAGAAAACTTTTTCCTTTTTCTCACTGGAACACTTTTAGTACTTCATAGAATTAAAAAACAAAATTCACCCAAATACACTTCAAGTATCTAATTAGTTATAGAAGATTCATAAATTAGACAGCATCCCATCTCTCCAAAGGGCTATAGTAAAGGAACGGTTTTTAAACGCAGGACATGGAATCCATGAACAGAAGAAAAGATTACTTTAGGCATGAAAGTGAAAGTGAAAAGTCGCGTAGTCCTGTCCAACTCTTTCCGACCCCCATGGCCTATACAGTCCGTGGAATTTTCCAAGCCAGAATATTGCAGTGGGTAGCCTTTCCGTTCTCCAGGGGATCTTTCCAACCCAGGGATGGAACTCAGGTCTCCCGCATTGCAGGCATAGGTTACATATTTTATGGGGAACGGAAGGGATCTATCTATATGGCAGATTATCTCAGCCTCCTTTGGGGACAACAGAGAGCCCGTGTGACAGATTGCCTCATTTATGCTAACCAAAAAATTCCTGACTAACTTGTTAAGACTACATTTCTGGGTGACGTTGAAATTTAAGCTACGACAGGTATTAATGCTGCCTTTTTTATTGAAACGGGTCTGGAAGTTAGTGCCCTTCCCTCTCTAAAACTGAGAGAACATTTAGGAATCATCTGCAGAGTTAAGGTGTGGAAATGCTCTCAGAGGGAAAGGATGCATTTTCCCGGTTGAGTGCCTCTTACTGCTCCTCTAACACCCTTTCCCCTTTGTGTCTGTTAAGCGCGAAAATTTTTCTCAAAAGACCAGGTGCGCTCAGGCGCCTCTTTCTTAGAACTACATTCCCCACAATGCCTCCGGAGGCCCCACGTAGCTGGAGAACTACAATGCCCGAAATGCCAAGGGTCTTTTCTTTTCTTTCTTTTTTTTTTTTTTGAGGCGGATAAGCTTCCACTCCAAATTCAAAAATGAAGTTTACCCACTCTGTAGCCCAGATATAGTCACTTCTTTCCCCTTTCCTGCCAGAAACTTCCGTTCCTAGCTCGAACTTCCGACCCCATTCTTCTCCCAGCGGGAATAACTGGGATAAAGACGCAACAGAGAGTAGAGCGCATGCGCTGACCCGGGGGTTTGGGCATTTTGGGAGGCCCGCAGGTCCGGGAGCGTCCCGCCTTGCGCGTGCGCAGACGATAAACCAACGCCCCAGAGTCGAGGCGCGGGTGTAGTGCCGCATTTTAGTGAAGTCGCACGTGAAGAGTAGCGGTGGCCAGAGCCCGGTGAGTGCAAGCTGAGACCGGGGCTCGGGGGCTGCACGCGGGACTCGGTGGCGGCGGCCGCTATAGGTGGGAGCCTGGCGGCCGCGAGGCCTGGCGAGCGCCTGTGGGGAGGGGTCCGAAGTCGCTCGGCGGGCAGTCTTAACTGCGGACCCGGATCCTCGTTGCTATGCAACAGGGGGCGTCGTTACTAAGTAACAGGGGAGGCGCGCGTTTCCGGGGAGAAGAGAGTTTGAGGTGCTGCTCCGAGGTCCGGTGGAGGACACGCGGCTGTCAGGTTTGCGGGACGAGGCCAGCGCTGAGCCCCTCGACCCCGACTCCCGCCTAGGGCTCGGCCTCCCGCGGCTTCGCTCCGAGCCCTTTGGGGGTACCCCGAACCCCTGGGCCGCGCGGCGTCCCTTGCCGGCGACGTCACCCAGCAGCCTTGGCAGGGGACACGCTGTTCGAAATAGCACAAGCATGCCACTGACACCCTGTCTCGGGGAGGCCGGGCCCTGGGGAAGGCGCCGTGCGCATGGGAAGCTGCCCCTTTGCTCGCCGCCCTGCCCCCAAACAGTTGCTGGGCAGCAGCTGTTAGGGGTTTAGCGGGGGCTGCCCCCACCTGCCAGGACGCTGACTTCATACTCCCGAGTAGCAGCTTCACCCGGTCTAGGAGCTTCCTTTCCACGCAGCTGTGGTTTTCGAGTGGCCGCTGCATGTTTGGATCAACTTTAAAATAGTACTCTCCGTACCTCTCCGTGGCTCTCCGTTGCCATGCTCACCGCTTCTTGGTGGGCTTCTAACACTTATTTAACAAGCATTTATTAGTCATTGTTCTGTGCTAGGCGCTGGGGATTCCAAGGAAGGTTAGCTGTCAAGTCTGAAGGGGAGGTGCTCAAAGTCTATTGGGGAAGGCAGGCATAAAAACTTATGAATTATGCTACAGTGCAATGAGTGGTAAGTTGGCAGTTTGTGGGCTACAACTTTCCTATATATGTTTATAGTTTACAAAGTTCTTGTAGAAACATGTTAACTACTTGCATTAACTCTTAACCTCGTTTGATCCCATTTTAGATTTGAGGAGACTGAAACTCAGACAGGTTAAGTAATAAAGTAGAAGGTAGTGGCTTCTAAATTTTATTTCTTTTGGCCATGCTGCAGTGCCTGTGGGATCTTAGTTTCCTGGTCGGGGATTGAGCCCACACCCCCTGCACTGGAAGCATGGAGTGTTAACCACTAGACTGCCAGGGAAGTCCAGTAGTGGCTTCTAGTGTATGGCAGAACTGAGCCTGGGACAGAAAAGTCTAGAGTGCTTTGTACACTGCTGCATTTTGGGGGCTTTGCCCGAACAGTAGACTTTTCCCTGTGCTGCTGATCATTTGTGGCAGCTGTCCTGTTATGCATCAGAAATCCGCAAGGAGCTCTGAAAACAAAAGTCTGAACCTGACTCTGGGGAGAGTCCCAGTAAAGAAGCCTCAGGGACTGGAGGGTGTAGGTGGGACAGAGACACTCCAGCTTGAGGAGGCTCACGCCCTTCTCATGGCAACCACAATTGAGAACTGCTGCGCCATGGGGGCAGTTTCTACAATGATGGGGAAATCAGGACCGGCAGAAGGCACAAAATCAGCTGCCCCTCCTGCCACGTAGTGATTTATAGTGCGAGAGGAAGCGACCAGGAGGAAAGAGCCTTGGCAGGGAGTCTGGGGACCGCCCCACCCTACCCTCTTAGCAAACCACAGCTAAACATATAGTGCCTTCTCACTACCACAGTTAAATGAAGCAGTTTCCCTAGTTCAGCCTGTCCCTGCCCGAGCCATATTGCTGCTGCCTAAAGGAAAGCAGCAGGTCTAGTCCTGGCTTTTTGCTGCAGAACCATGACCTGTGAGCCCAGCAGGTGGGTCATCTTCTGGTGGGTGGTCTCCTTGTGGGAGTCTGGGTGTCCTCTGTCTGTGAGGTGGTTGATTTGGGGGCAGAACTTTAAACTCCTTGAGGGCAGCAACCATGTCTTAGTGAGGCAGGGTGGGTGGGGTATGGGAGGAGCAAAAGGGCACGGTTTAGATCCTGGGTTCTGGAGTCAGTTCCCTGTCCTGCTGTGTAAGCTTGAACACTTGATCTCTCTGAGCCGTAGTTTTCTGAGTAAATGTGGAGAAATAGTAGCATCTTATAAGATTGTTGTGGACTTAGATGAGATGGTGAAAGAACAAGCACTTTATAAATTATAAAGCAACACACAATTTGTTGTTTGAGTGCCTGCTATTTGCTGAGACATTTAAGACATCCTTCCTCTCGGAGCTCACGGTTGCTGCAGCCCCTGACTCCCATGGCTTCTTTTCATCAAAAGTATTTGATTGGGATGAAGTGAGGAGGTATCATGGTGATGAGTTAGACCCTTGCTGAAGAAGAAATGAAGAGGAATCCTTTAAAGAAAACAATTTGAAGAAAAAAGGGAAAATGAAAGTGTTAGTTATGTTCAACTCGTTGCGACCATATGGTCTGTAGCCCGCCAGGCTCCTGTGTCCATGGGATTCTCTAGGGCAAGAATACTGGAGTGGGTAGCCAGTCTCTTTTCCAGGGGAATCTTCCTGACCCAGGGATCAAACCCAGGTCTCCTACATTGCAGGCAGATTCTTTACCATCTGAGCCACCAGGGAAGCCTTTGAAGAAAGGGAGTAGCCAGTAACCTGCTGTCTTATCTCCAAAGGGCTCACTCTGGAATCGGGTTAGATTTGGTTTCTGGTACATTTCCGAAGGTTGACTGGCAGGCAATGCCAGCCTCACTGTGGAGAGTTTATTTCAAGGTCCCCCAAGTCTCCTCAGATTTCCAGGTGGCTCAGTGGTAAAGAATCCGCCTACCAATTCAGGAGATGTAGGAGCCAGGGTTCAATCCCTGGGTCAGGAAGAACCCGTGGAGGAGGAAATGGCAACCTGCTCCAGGTTCTTGCCTGGAGAATCCCATGGACAGAGGAGCCTGGCGGGCTACAGTCCCTGGGGTCGCAAAGAGTCGGACAGGACTGAGTGATTGAGCACACACAACTCCCCTGAACTACAGTAGATGGCTCCCTGAAAGTTGAGGCTGGCACAGAACGCAGGAGGCTTCCAGTTGGGGGTGGCGGGGAGCAATTCACGTCACCTTGACCTTCTAGATAGGAGGAGACATCATCGGATCCCTCCGGATGGAGGTCCTTGGATATAGAATCCAACCCAAGATAGCAACCCTGCTCGTTAAGTCCTCAACCAGGAACTGACCAGTGCTTTCCTCATCTCTGACCATGGGCAGGCAGGAACCATCTGGTTCTTGATTTGTGCCAGGAAAAGAGTAGAAGGCTTCCTAACCTGAGGTTGTTCCCTCTGAACTGCCTGTTTTGCAGCCTGCCTGATCCTACAGGTCTCAGGAGGGATTTAGAGCAGCTGTTTCTGTGCCAGAAAGTGCCCCAAATGTGATATTTTTGTAACCGGTTCTTGGACCCTCCTACCCACTAAACAAGAATGAGAATATCTTCTCCTCTTCCTTGATTTCTGGCTGACTACCTGAGGGCCCTGGTAGCTATAAAAACTTCAAACACCTGACTGCTCCTGCCTCAGGGGCCTGGTTAAGCCTCTGCTTCTCAAGTCTGAATCTCTGACACTCCCAGGAACTGCAGGTTCATTTCTGAGCCTGTAAGAGAACAGGGAATTTGCCGGTGCTCTTTGACTTTTCTCAAGCACAGTAGCAAATAGAAGTTGGAACTGAAAACGTTTTTCTTGGCTAAATTCACTGGTACTTCAATGAGTCGATACTTGTTGGGTCTTAACTTGCCTACAGCATCACATTACAGAGGAGATCAGAGCATAAAACACAAAGCAGTTAAGTGAATTATCACCAGTAATTCACGGAGTGGATTGGTAGATGCCAAGTCTATTTTAGCTCATGAATAATCTTTTGTGTGACTTTCCAAATCACTTGTGAGATTTAAGTTGAAGAGGATACAGTATGGTATATGTGAGGGTGCTGATGTCACGTGCGTGCATGCTAAGTTGCTTCAGCGTCCAACTCTTTGTGACCCCACGGACTGTAGCCCGCCACACTGCTCTGTCCATGGGATTCTCCCGGAAAGAATACTGGAGTGAGTTGACATGGGTGCCTCCAGGGGATCTTCCCAACCCACGGATCAAACCCAAGTCTTCTTGTCTCCTGCAGTGCAGGCAGATTCTTTCCCGCTGAGCCACCAGGAAAGTCTGGTGTCAGGTGTACCTGAATTCAAATTCTGGCTCCCCTACTTACTACTTATCCTTCCGCAGTTTCTTCATCAGTAAAATGGGGGATAAGAACCTACCTAATGGGTTGTTATGAGGATTAAATGAGATAGGTGGCCCATGGTTAACTTTTTATTATTAATAATATTGTTCCTTAAAAGTTGTGCTTTAGCTCTTTGCCTCCGTTGGGAGCTGGGGAGTTGAGGTCATTCAGTGTGAGTGGATCTTGACTTTGCACAGTGGAAACCTGTGGGGCGCTTTTGCAGATCCAAGCCCGGGCCATACTCACCGTGACATCAGAACATCCTGTCTTAGGGCAGAGGCATCAATAGTTTGTGAAGCTTTCAGATGTTTCCAGTGAGCAACCACAGTTGTGATCCACCTTCACTTCTGTGATTTGGAAGCCGAAATTTGGGTCCAAATCCTGGCCTTTCTCCTTAGCCCCAGTGACCTTGGGCAGATGCTTAAGTCCTAAGTCTCAGCCTCTTCTCCTCTCTACCCATAGTGGTGAGGAGAATAAGGACCATCTCACATTATACTCCTGCAGAACAAATGGCCTGTGTACAGTGTGTTCTTATTTGAGCACCCAACCAAGCACGTTTCTTTACATCTTTATACAGTGGTAATCCTATTTAAGTGCAATTCTTAAGTTAAAAAAAAAATATATATATATATATATAAGCTTTATTTAAAGTGGATTATAACCTCCTTGATGACAAAGTCTTATAATTTTTTTTTTTTAATGCCCAAAGCACCTAATATACAGAGGCGGGCCTTCAGGTTTTTAGAGCTGGAGTAAGCATCATAGAGAGCTTCTCATCCACCTTAAGGCACTGACTTACACTTACTGGTTTATTAATATGCAAGCAGTAAAGAATGTGAAAGAGGAACCCATGAATCAGATGGTTATACCCAGCTGAGGTTGAAAGTCTCAGTTCTGCGTTTCTCAACTAACAGGGAGGGGTGAAGGAGGGTGCCGAGGCAAGTCACGCCCAGGACAGTGGGTTTCTCAGCCAGTTTGGGCCCTCACAAATGCCGTGCTTCTAAACCCTGGCAGATCCAGCCATGGCAGGCTCAGGCAGCAGTTCGCCATGGGGCAAGCATCTGTTCAAAGTCATCCTGATGGTGCTCGTGGCCCTCCTGCTCCTGCACTCAGCGTCTTCCCAGTCACATCGAGACTTCGTGACGCCAGGCCAGCAGAAGAGGGAGGCCCCGGTTGATCTTTTGAGCCAGATTGGTCGCTCTGTGCGGGGAACCTTGGATACCTGGATTGGGGCAGAAACCATGAACCTGGTTTCTGAGGTAAGGAGGGTGTTCCCTGCTGTGACCGCACACGTTGAGGACAGAGCAGCTGTCTTGTTTACGGCCGCTCGTCTTGACTCCACATCCTCTGTATCATAATCTGCGGGGCAGAGAGCCCCCCTTTTCCACAGAATGAAGCTAGACAGCCCCTGCCTTTTGCACCCACTTTGTTGCATTCCTACCCCAGAGCCTTTAGCTCCACCCCCCTCTTTCCCTTATCCCTGCCTTTTCTTGCCAGAAAGACTGGGAATGAGCCATCTTTGTAAACCTATGTCACTGGTGACTATGTGTCTCACTTTGGTCTAAATCTGACCTAAAGTCTTAAATTGGCAAAATATCAAGACCTGAGTCCATTCTTTCACCTGGAGAGGGGGGAGTGGGGATGACTCAGGGCCTTAAGGCAGGGCTGTCTCTTCTACCCAGTGGCATCCCAAGCATGTTGCCGCATACTTTTGATAGGTCTTATTGAATACCTGAAACAAAGATCTTACCATTTATAAGATCCATAATACAGAAGAGCCGATTGACTTGGTTGTCACTGAAACATCCTAGCCCTTCAGGGATGCTGCTTCCCAGACCTTCAATACTTGGGAGGCTAGGAGGAGCCCCCCCTCCCCCCAAATTTTACAGGGTGACTGCTTCAGGGATTTTATGATTCCCCCACATACCCACATTCACCCACTACCACCACCAAAGTATTTGAGCACATCAGTTGAATTAGGGCCCCAGTGTCATGGGTTCCAGCTCAGGAAAGAGAAATGGCCCATCCCCACACACTGGAAGGTGGCTGTGGAAGGGACCCCTCAGCCAGGCCGAGAAGCAGGTGGAGGCGTTTCTGGCCGGTGGTGGTAAGGCCCGGAGGAGAAGAGCATCATTAATTATGGACTCATCTCGTGCCCTCCTCTTCCCACAGACCTTGGCACAGATAATGTGGGCCATCTCATCAGCCATCTGCATGGCCTTCTTCGTGCTGTCTGGGATCGTTGCTCAGTTGCTGAACACCTTGGGGCTAGAAGGTGAGTGGCAGAGAACTGGTTAGGTCAGCTGGAGCTTAGCGTGTCACTTCCTGTTTGTGAGAGTTTATCTTTCAAGGTCTAAACTTTGCCCTAGCTATTTAACTCCTCCCAGGTCTCCCCAGAGGCAAGCCAGTGGCATCCCTGGCTACTAAGAGCAGGCTACTAACTGTGGCATCGTGCTAAGCCGTAGGGTCTCTTCTAACCAGTACCCACAGAGGCTCACTCCCATTTCATAAATGCAACAGACTCAACCAAGGGAAGGAGTCTGCCCACAGTCAGCTGGACCCGATGCTGGGATTTAAGCTCCATGACCCAAGGGGAAAGGATTTCCCTTTGGCTAAGGGGGTTTGGCTCTTCCCCTTTTAATTGGTCCTTGAGAGCACTCCCCACTCCGTTCACCGTGCCAGCGTGGCTGATTCTATAACTCTCTCCCCTTCCAGGAGATCACCTCACCTTGGGCCTGCAGCTCACCCCCAGCCAAGTCCAGACCTTCCTGCTGTGGGGAGCAGGCGCCCTGGTTGCCTACTGGCTGCTGTCAATACTCCTCGGCTTGGTCTTGGCCTTGCTGGGGCGGATCCTGTGGGGCCTGAAGCTTGCCCTCTTCCTGGCCGCCTTTGTGGCTCTGGTGAGGTCCGTGCCCGACCCCTCCACCCGGGCGCTGCTCCTCCTCGCCTTGCTGACCCTCTACGCCCTGCTGAGCCGGCTCACTGGCACCCGGGCCTCAGGGGCCCAGCTGGAGGCCAAGGTGCGGGGGCTGGAACGCCAGGTGGAAGAGCTGCGCTGGCGGCAGAGGCGAGCAGTCAAGGGGCCCCGGAGCGTGGAGGAGGAGTGAGAGGGTCGCCGGACACCGCCCCTGCATCATACCAAAGAGCCAAGCTGCTTCTGGGTCGCACGACCCTCCTTCCAGCCCCTCGCCCCTTTCTCGCCCTGTCTCTGAGCCTTTCAGACCTTTCTCTCTGCAGTCCCCTTAGCCGAGAGAGGAAGACCATCCCCTGACTTGTCCTCAGGGGCCCTGTCCTCTGAGGTTCTCTTGTCTGGGCTTGCTTCTCCCCACTCTTTCTCTGCTCCCAGCCTGCCTTAGCAAGACAGGTGGTTGGGGGGGGCTCCTGCCAGCTTCTGCACCCACTCTCAGCGAACACCCCGATCACTGCCGATGGCCTCCATGACTCAGCCACGACTTGCCTTCCTCCAGTGCTCTTTCCCTCCTGTCCTTCTCTACCTCTCCCTTTGCCAAGTCCCCTGCTTCCATCCTTGTTTGTCTCTCCTCTTAGCCCTGTACTCCAACCAAACCCCAGTCCCTAAAGGCATGCTCCTGTCCCTTTCATTGCCCGGTGGTGGGGTTGGGGAGAGGCAGGCCTCTGGAGTCTGAGGGCAAACAAAAGTGGGGAAGTTCCCACCTGGGGCCGGGGCTGAAACATACCTTGAGTCTGTTATAAGTGCCTTAATCCGAGCCAGTGGGGTTCTCCGTTTGCCTGCTGCTGCCATACTGTATGTAAGAAACTGCCCTGTGGCTGCTTTATGTCAAGAGGAAAGTGGTTCCTCTCGGATTCTTGATTCCCCTTCAGCCAGAGCAAAAGATGACTGCTTTGTAGGCTTGTGCCTGCAAGTAGGACCCTGCGATGGCCCTGAGCCCCCCCGTGGGGGTTTCAGAGACCCTGAAGGAGGAAGGAGTACTCATCTTCCTGTCTGCACAGCTCCAGGCGGTTCTCCATCTCTCTCTCCGTCACTGCCACCAAGGAGTCGCTGATCATTGGCCCAGGAGGAGTGCAACACAGACAGCAGAGATGTACCACACAGCCCCTTATGCTCTGCAGCTGAGATGTCCCCACTGGGGCGGGGGGGGGGCCACTCATTTCTTCCTCCAAGGCTCTGGTAGAGGTGGGTGGCCTCTGCCAGGCCCTGCACACGATATGAAGAGGAAAGAAATGCCCAGTTCTTACTGTTGAGGTTGAAATGGAATCAGAGCTGCAGTGATATATATATATATTTTTATTGGCGCTTGGTTGGTTTTAAATAAAGTGCACGCTATTTTATTATCTCTTTCCGGATAAAACGTATTTGCTAAAAGTCTGGCTTTCCTTGATTGCTCCCTTTCCAGCTAAACCCATTTCTGCGGAGCTGCTGTTTCTCCCTGCAGGTGCCAAATAGGGAGAAAGGGAGTGAGGAAGAAAGCTGGATCCTTCCCTCCTGGGCTGTGAGGAATGAGGAGGGCACACCCCATTCCTAAACTTCTGGGACTGACCAGCTTCCAGAGAATAGTGTGCCTGGAGGGGAGGAGGGAAGGGACCTCTTTCATCCCTCTGTGCAGGAGCGGTAAAGGCTGGCCGCCAGCCATAGATAGACTGGCTTGCCTTCCCTGCATCCCCACCATGGTTCTCAACCGGGCCCATGAACTGGATCAGTTATTTCATGGAGGGGCCCTAGTGTCGGTTTTCCTTTTTAAACTGCCCAGGAAAGGCTAATGTGCAGCTGGGTGCCCCGCTCTAGACCGCTCACTCCCAACACTGCTTGGCGGAGAAGGCTGGGCCAGGAGACTGGACCTGGGAGGCAGGCCTTCCCCCTGGGGCAGAGAGGAGCCCTCACACTTCCAGACCCACAGGCTTCCCGCAGGGATGGGGCTGCGTGCACCCAGCAGTGGTCCCCTGGCCCTGTGAGCCCCCTTACATCCCCTCGCCACCCCTGAGCCTGGTTCCTTATAGCCCTGAATTCTGGTTCTGGTGTCAGTTGCCTTTACAGATGAGCAGCTTGTGGAGTGTGGATGAAGCAGAGGACGTGGCTCTTTCCTCCTTGATCAGGAGCTTCCCAGAGAGGGAGCGAACCGAACACGTCGTCCTGTCCCTTGGCACAGCCAAATCGGTCCCCAGGGAACTGATCTGGTCCGCCTCTAGCACTGAGGCGCTCGGGACTCGGGATCCGCGGGGCACTAGGACCCAGCGGGGCCGAGGGGCAGCCCGAGAGCCGCGCTCGCTCCCTCCCACCCTCCTGCTACAGCTCCGGCTCCCGCTCCATTGTCTGGGAACTGCAGCCGCCGGGCGGGCGGACCCGCGGTCGGGCGGGCTGCACCGGGGACTCACCCGGCCGGGAGATGCCGGGTGGATCGCGGCCACCTGAGCCGCCCGCCTAGTCTCCGCCTTCCTTGGGAAGGATGTGCGCCTGGATGGCGGGGCGCGCGGCAGGGGCTCCCCGGGGGCCCTGCGGCCCCTGGCTCTGCCTCCTGGTGGCCTTCGCCCTGGACATCGTGAGAGGTCAGCGGGAGGGACGGGGCGGGGCGAGGGGCAGCCGGGCCCAGACTGAGGCCGGGGACGAGGGATGCTCGGGAGCCGGGAGTCTACGAGTTCTGGAACGAAACCCCGAGCCGGGTGGCCCGGCAGCGTGCCCTGAGGGTGGAGAGGTCTCACCCCCCGGGATCTGGCCCCCAGCCCCTGGCCTCTGTTGCTTCCCTCACTTTCATAACCTGGCAATTCCTTCCTGATCCAGGACCAGCGCGGTCCCCGGTCTCTCGCGCGTCATCCTCCCACCCTCGCCGAGTCCCCGCACCTTCTGCGAGCTTCCCCTCCAGCCGGGACCTCTAACCTGGTTGCCTCCTGCCCCGCACTCACCAACTCCCTAATTGGCTGTCCAGAGAGCTGTAGCCCTGTGGCTTCTAGCCTCCTCCCCTCTGCCCAGGACCTGAGAGATCCTCACTGCCTTCCCCCTGCGCCGAGGAGCTCTCTGACCTTGGAGTCTCCAGAGGTTGCCCCATCCCTGCCTTCCTGAGTATGGGGATCCCTGGAGGAGGGGCAGAGCCTCCCCTGGACCCCGGGGGTGGGAGTCAGACTGCCCCTGGCGTGGACTGAGGCTGCTAGGCAGATGATGCCAGAGAGTGGGGGATAGTGAGACATTCTCTGCCCCCTCCCCCCTCCCTCACAAGAGAGCTGAACTCTGAGTGATGGGAGTCCCTGGGAGTCAGGCCACAAGAGCATGTTGTAATTATCCAGGCAGCGGAGTAGACAAGAGGACCAGAAGCCAGGGTCTGACCCTGGGGAGCCAGTCACTCACCTGTTACACTTGGGGTGGGGGGGGGGGGGAGAGGTGAAGCTTCTCACCACAGGCTGCTTGGTGGGGAGGGTCTTGCAGGGGGTTGAAACCATCCAGTCCCCCAGCCCAGCAGTGGGGCTGAGAGTGAACTGGCTCTAGGGCTCCTTTCAACCACCTGCTCCCCTCCCTGGGGACCCAGCAGGAGCCCTAATAACCCCTCACACAGAGAAGAGGAAAGGCTTGTCACATCTATTATGCAGTAGCAACAACCCCTCCTCCAGTGTGGCACGGTTTACAGAGCCTCCGCTGGCTACCGTGTCACCAAGTGCTCCTTCTACTGGTGAGGAGATACTGACCCAAGCTTCATCAGGGCAGAGTTAGGACATAAATGCAGGTCTCCAGGCCCCCAGAGGGCCTCCCTTGTGGCTCAGCTGGTAAAGAATCCTCCTGCTGTGGGGGAGCCCTGGATTTGATCCCTGGGATGGGAAGATCCCCTGGAGAAGGGAAAGGCTACCGACTCCAGGATTCTGGCCTGGAGAATTCAATGGACTATAGATCATGGGATCGAAAAGAATCAGATACGACTGAGGGACTTTCACTTCAGGTTCCCAGATCATGCGCTCCAGGAATCGGGGATTCTGGGATGAGTCTGATAAGCACCCTGGTCAACAGACAGGAAAACTAAGTCAAGAGGAGGCAGCCAGGGTGAGAGGGCAAGCAATCAAGGAGGGCTTCCTAAAGAAAGAGGCAACATTCACTCTTGGCCCCGAAAGAGGAGGGAGGCGAAGACAAGAGACCTACAGTCTAGGGAGTGAAGCCCGCAGGGGCCCAGTGGAAAGCAGCCCAGGATGGAGAGAGGGGGAGGGTGGAGAGACAGGTTGTGTAGTGGTTGGTGGCTGGGCTCTTTGACTCCCAACTCCACCACGCTCCAGCTATGGAACCCCATGCCAGTCCCTGAACCTCTCAACTTCATTTTCTACAACCATAAAATGGCATTAATAGTAATAAACCTAGTTCTCAGAGCTATTATAGAACACAGAAGCCTTAACATATGCAAAGCATTTAAAATAGTAACTTGCACACAGTTAACTTTCAAAAAATTATTATTAGGGCTAGCTAGTAGTCAGTTGATACAAACCAGATATGCTCTGAGGGGTCCTTTGCCCTTTTGAGTGTTAAATACTTTGACTCCCTCCCCAGGCTTATGTACGGTTCTTGCCCCTTACCCCATTCCCAGCTTGCCCTCCAATACCCAGCTGGGATGGGGTAGAAAGAAGCAAGTTTGAGAAACCAGTGCAAGGTTGCCATGGTGATGATACAGTGGCAGCAAGGGTGGATGCCCAGCCAAGTCTGGCCAAGGACCCAGGGGGCAGAGGAAGAGTCTCTAATTCTACAAAGCTCACCTCGTCACCATCTTTTATTACCACATGGACCCTGTCTGGGGAGGGCTTGGTGTCACACAAATGCCTTGGTGTCAGAGGCAGGTAAGTAGAGGGCAGGAGCTGGTGGGGCAAGAGGAGACATTGAGAAGGTTCTGCTGGTGGGAGGAAGGCCTGGGTCTGTGGAAGGCAGAAGGAGTGACTCAGAAGCTGGCAGTCAGTCTTGGATGGAGAGCCAAATCCCGGCCCCAGTTACCTGTGAAATGGGGAGACTCCCCCCTCCAACATCCTGGGAGAATGGGACTCAAAACCCTCTTCTTCCTCCACCGCCCATGACTGCTGTGCCCTGGGGCAAAGCTGGGTTCAGCCCCTGCCCGCTCGGAAGCTGCCACCACCCCTACCCTTTCTCCCTCCTTAGTGGACTGTGACCAGGACCCCCTGGACCCCGTCTACCTGCCGGCGGCCCTGGGACTCCTGGATGCCCCTGAGCACTTCCGTGTGCAGCAGGTGGGCCGCTACCCCCCTGCTAACTCCTCTCTGGGCTCCCGATCTGAGACCTTTCTGCTCCTGCAGCCCTGGCCCAGGGCCCAGCCACTTCTCCGGGCCTCCTACCCACCCTTCGCCACTCAGCAGGTAAGGAGGCGCCACCAGAGTCTCCTGGGCTACCGGGACTGAGAGCCGAGGTCTGCTATGTGTGGCTCAGGGCCCTTCTGCAGCCCTAGACATGCTCCCCCTTTCCCAGAGGGGGAGAAGGAGACTCATCAAGGCTCTCTCTTACTAGCCTGAGATTTCGCGTCCCCCTGAGATTTCGCTAACACCCTGCTTTGCTGAGCACCCCCGTTCTCCCTCTAGGTGGTCCCTCCTCGGGTCACTGACCCACACCAACGGCCAGTCCCATGGGACGTGAGGGCTGTATCAGTGGAAGCGGCCGTGACTCCAGCAGAGCCCCACGCCCGTGTCCTCTTCCACCTCAGAGGGCAAGATTGGCCCCCAGGGCCTGGCAGCCTGCCCTGCGCCCGGCTCCATGCCACACACCCGGCAGGCACTGCTCACCGAGCCTGCCGCTTCCAGGTGAGTGGGGGCCCCACCTGGGCTGGCCCTGCTGCTGTGCCGGCCAGAGGGTGATCCCAGAATAGGGAAGAGAGGGCTCACCACTTCCGGGAGGTTTGGGAGTCACAGACCACCTGATTGCATTCCTGCTCTGCTAGCTCTCACAGAACTCTGCTATTGGGGGCCCCTTGAGGAGTTCAGTCCATTGTACATGACTTTGGGCAAGTAACTTAATCTGTCTGAGGCTCAGTTTCTTCATCAGTAAAATGACATAATAGCAATTCTTACCTCATATGGGTCTGGAATAAAGAAATGAGGACTTCCCTGGTGGTCCAGTGGTTAAGACTCTGCCCTTCCCATGTAGGAGGCGCAGGTTTGATTCTTGGTCAGGGAACTAGGATCCCACATGCTGTGAAGTGTGGTGCAGCCAAAACAAAACAAAAATAGTAATTAAAAAAAAATAGAATAAATGAGAGGGATGCAAGAATAGCTTTTGGCAC